TCACCAGTGTGTGAATGGGTGGATGACTGGATGTGTAAAGTGCTTTGGGCTCCATAGGGACTAGTAAAGCGCTATACAAATACAGGCCATTTACTATTATGACAGATAGAGCTATATACGTACTGACATGTAAAGAGTGTGTTGAGAAGCTGGAAGTGCAACATGTGATGTCATGGCTTCATGACAAGAAAGAACACTTCAGATGTGATGTACAGAGAAGGTCAGATTCATCTTAAAAAACTGTATTTATGAAGTTACAGTTCTATCTTACTGTCTTTTAAAATGTTATGTGCAAATGACATGTCTACACTTTTTCATTTTTGATGGGGACACAGTTACCATAGATCATTAAAGCTATGGCATTAAGGAAACAAAGCCGTAAAAAACTTACAGTGTTAGATATAAGTCTAGTTTTTTTTATTATTTTTTTGTTTCTTTTTTTCTTTTTTTCCCCCTTTAAGTCTAGTTTTTACATTAATTTAGTAATGCAGCTTCTAAAATTATTGCAGTTTCATATCACTTGCATGTGTATCCTTGTAAGAAAGAACATTTAAATGACTGATCAGGGCATGGTTGTGCTGATTTTACCACAGTCTCCTTTAGGGTTACTGAGAATGGTCCAAAAAAGAGAAGCTATCCAGTGAGCAGCAGTTCTCTGTGTGAAAACACCTTGTTGGTGTGGATGTTTCTAGCAGGAAAAGGCATTGCCTAATCTAGACTCTTAAATAATCGCAAACTGATTCTTAAAACATGAAAATAAGTTCACTGTATTCAAATGGCATCCAAGTCTTGATCCAATAAAGCACCCTTTGAATGTGGTGGAATTAGATATTTGCATCATGGATGTGGAGGCGACAAGTCTCCAGCAATTATGTAATAATAATGTCAATATGGTGAAATTCTCTGAGGAACGTTTTCTTGTTAAAACTAAAATGCAAAGAATTAAGGCACCTGAAGGAAAAAGGGGTCCTAATGAAGTGGTCAGTAAGTGTAGTATTAACGACTTGTTTGTAAAAACCATTACATTTGTATTTTGTAAAAAAAAGATTTTAGATTGTACTTTTGGGTCTCCAAATGGCCCACTGCAGGGAGAGGTGTGGTGCAGCAGGGTCGAGGGGCAGTACCAGGGAGGCTGATGGGCAGCTGCAGCTTATTTGTGGTAATCAGGTCTCTCCCTTTTCAGTGATGCCAGGAGCTAGTGACAGGAGAGTGGAGTCAGGTGGAAAACTGAACAGTCCAAAGCAACATTGGTGCCAAACCGAAAACATTGTGCAAGCGCAATAAAAGAAAAAGAAACCCATAACAAGATCACTCTGTGGTCTCAGTCGTGTTTAGGGTCACAATTTCTGGTTGTGCAAACAGCAAACAGTCTTTGTAGGTATGACTGCGTCTCTACAGAAGTTCAAAACAATCTGACAGCTCAACCTGTCTGTCCTGCAGTGTCCGTACTGTTCTCCCCTGTTTCCAGCAGCACATTCCAGTCGGCTCAATCAAATCAGTCTCTAAGGTTACGTTCACACTGCAGGTGAAAGCGCATCAAATCTGATTTTTTTGACCCTATGC